TTTTTCTATTATTATGTGCGTCATTCCCATAATATTATAGGAACCAGTCCTATAATATTATAGGGACCATTCCTTTAATAGTATAGGAACCATTCCTATAATATTATAGGAATTATTCCCATAATATTATAGGAACTATTCCCATAATATATTGAAGCTATTCCATTATTGTATAGGAATGTTTCCAATAAACTATGGGTATGGTTCCCATAATGAGTATAGTATAGGATTATTGATGCCTATAATGATCATTTTATTATAGGAACCATTTCCATAATTTTTGGAAAGTTTCCTATAAATTTCTCTCCGTGTAGAAAAATTCTAACTAAAAATTTACTTTTGGTTGGAACTGTACTAATTCAACTCCCATAATAATATTACAAAATTTTTTCTTGAATTTTAGTCACATTTACGACTCAATTGAACGATACTTTTTTTGTAAACATTTATTGAAAAACAAGATTTTCAACTTTATATTGATTTTAAAAATTTCAATTTTTCCTACATTCGTGAATCATTTTCGAAATTTTATAAATACATTTCTTTTAAAAATAATTAGTGTAACTTTAAAAATATGTTACCAGATTAAAATACTTATAATTAAAGACAATATTTTTCTAAAATAAGTTGACAATTGTCGATTTTTGACTTGTTGAATTTTCCAAAAAGTTATCATTTTTCTTTGACGCTTGAAGAGTTTTTAATTTCTCACTAAGAAAATTGAATATTTTTTTTCTATTATTCCTTTAAGTAAGTAAGTAATACACATGAAAAATAATTGTTTTATCATATTTTTAAAAGTTACCCTTCGGTTTTTGACGATTATTTTATAAAATTTTACTCATTCTTATAAAATTTTAGTCCTTAATAAAATTCGTAATTTTATAGAAATTTAATAAAATTCCGTGAAAACGTTTTATCCCAGGTACTCAAATTACGGAAAAAACTTACTTAGCTAGTATTAAAAACTGAAATAAATTTTTCTCGTAAGCACTCATTTTTACCGAAAATGAAGTATCTAACGATTATTTTACCTCTAAAAATTTTTATGACTTGTCCGAAAATTGTCAGTAAAAAACAAGAAAATTTTAAGAATCATTTAAATTTTAGAAATTCGATTGAAGAACATAATAATTGATAAAAATTACATTAAAAAAAAAAATGTTTTCACTATTGAAAAAAAAATTTTTGCAACAGGTAAATAATTGAAAATAATTAGATTGATAAAAACAAAACTTTTAGGTTAAGCGTTCTCAATAGAATCAAGATAAAAATAAATAAAAGTAGTAATGAAAATAATTACCTTATCAAAAACACGGGAATTAATGTCATCGGGTTTAGGTACACCCGCGACAATAGTTGTTATCATAAGACACGTCACTAATAATTTAAACATTATTACAATAAAAGCGCGGAACAAATTTAAATTTAATAAATTTTTAACTTCTCAGTACAATAAAATACAAAACGTTATATATTTTTAATTACATTAATTGACGGGAGTTGATGCTAAGTTGATATAATTCGTAACGTTAGGAAATAGAAAAATAATCTATGAGGTCTCGAGATTCCACATCATCGTTACAAACACTCGCCGAGGGCTCACATTTATTCCCCACCTCGCGGATCAGATTTTTTTTCTTAATGTGTACAAGTAAAATAGAAGCTTATTTATATTTTCCGTGTATTGACTTGTCCGCCTTCATACTAGTTAACAATATTCATATTATATGGTTTTACTGTAATAGTGAGTACAGCTAAAGGTTTTATTTTTCCTCGCGATGTTTATTTTAGTTTTTTTTTTTTTAAATTAAGTACAAGAAACGGCTCAATGCATCCGCCAGATGTTCTGCGGCTTCTCCATTCTTGTTGTTCTTCTCTCTCTATTTCTATGCTTCGTATGTATACATGGTATATTAAAAGAGTGGGGACGGATGGTGGGTAAGTATATGTAGATGCTTGTGTTGACGATAGTAAGTAAATATTACTTCTTTCTTGCTGATTTTTTTACTGCAAATTTAGATGTTGGTAAACAGAAAAACATTTAAAAAACTTTCAAACGGTACAGTATCTTTGGACTTAAAATCTTTAAATTTCAAAATTTTATTTTTTTCACTAGGATAATCCATGCGGACTTTGTTAGTTTTAAAACAATCTACTCGGTGCTCTAAATAACATTTTTGAAGTTTAAAATGATTCAAACAACGATCACAAAAGTATAATCTATGTCTACCTAGAGATATCTGACTTTTAATTAATCCAGAAAGATTGTGTATCCATGCAAAGTGATAGACTGACTCAATATTATCTAAATTATCAGTATAATTAACACTTTTTTTAATCATTAATAAATGAATCGTTGGTATTTCTGACTCGAAGTTACTTAAATATAATGGTATAATGGTACTTTTTTCAGACTTTTTACCCGTGAATTCAGAATCTAAACCATATACGTTAATGCTAAGATCATTCATTTTTTCGAATTTCGGGATGTCATTAAGCTTAATTGGAAATTGAATACCTTCATAATTTAATCTGACGCTGAAGTGACGATAACTTGAAGGGTCAGCTGGAACCAATACTGGTGGATGCAAGGCGGCGTTGACACACCACAGGAAGCAGAACTCATCATTGTTCTGGATGTTCGTAACCGCATGCTTCCTGATGATATCCTGCGGCAATCTGACGAAGGTGGAGTTCCCAACTTGAGTTGGTACGAATCTTGACATAGTCACCATCAAGCTGTTCGGCCCAAGAAGACTCCATCCGGAACCCTCATGTTCAAAATCTTCAATTCGTTGCTTCAGCTTCTCATACACATGCTCAGTGTACCAATCCTGAAGAGAAGTGGCAGGGAGAATCTCACGACTTTTGGTGATGAAAGATTTTCGTTCTTCTATGTCTTGTTGATGTTTCCGGAATGTACAGAAGAACTCCACATTCACTTTCAGCCCTGCTAGATCTCTCAAGACACTCTGTACCTTGTTGATGACAATGTTCCGTGAGGCCTAGAGAAATAATGTTGGATCTTTGTGGCGTTGGTTGATAACACATCCAGTCTGGATGTTACCAGCGAAAGCATTCTCCAGGTTCTGCCATTTGACTCCTTGGTTGAGATCTCCACCAACTACTTGGTTACCGAGTCTAGAGAACTGATCGACTAACCAGTTGAGTTGGTTGATGTGAGCTTGAACACTTCTTCTCACTTGAATTGTTGTTCCAGGATCCAGTAATATTGTATTGAAGTATTCAATGGTCTCCTCACACACTCGTAAACACCTTTGACGATGTTCATCAGTAAGCTGCTCTCCCAACAGATCAGCATATGAGGTTGCAATAGTATCCACCAAGTTTTTGAGAGCCTCGATAAGGTTATGTTGTGCCATTTTGAAACGAGAATCACTCCACTACTGTCTATTTACAAAATATTATAGGTTATCTACACTTTTTAAGGTTATGTACACTATTTATAGGTTATATACACTGTTTATAGGTTATGGACACTTTTAAAGGTTATGTCACTGTTTATAGGTTATGTATACTACACACACTGAATTTACTTGATAGTTTTTGACATACTGGACTACAGTTTATGCACACTAGACTACAGTTTATGTGCACACAATAGTTTTTGCACACTAGACTACAGTTTATGCTCACAATAGTTTTTGCAAACTGGACTATACTTGCGTACTTCACAACACTGAACTTCACTATATTTTATATAACACTGAATACTTTTTAATCACGAGAGATGTTTCACTGGAGACTTGTACTTCGTTTTTGTGAAGTTCGCTCTCGGCGAGCTGCTTATATAAGTCGAGAATACTGCGCAGTTACCCCCACTCCTCTACCTAAAACCGGTTTGATGACGTCATCTACTGCGCAGTAAGAAAATTCTAGAACAGAATGAGTCATCTACTACGCAGTTACCCCCACTCCTCTACCCAGAAACCGGTTTGATGACATCATCTTCTACATAGTTAGAAATAAAACGAAGAAAACTGCGCAGTTACACAACCTTGAACAGGTTCAAACCTGTCTGATGACGTCATCTACTACGCAGTTAGAAATAGAACAAAGAAAACTGCGCAGTTACGCGACCTTGAACAAGTTCAAACCTGTTTGGTGACGTCATCTACTACGCAGTTAGAAAATTCTAGAACAGAATGAATCATCTACTACGCAGTTAGGTATAGAACAAAGAGAACTACGCAGTTACCATGACCTTGAACAGGTTCAGACCTGTCAGATGACATCATCTACTACGCAGTTAAAAGTAATGCAAGCGGCCACCAGATGGCGCTGCGTAAAATCCTTCTCGCAAGTAGTTGTCATAACTTCATTTTAAATATATAAAACGTGGATATATCATACCCCAAATGCGTAATCCTGAACTATTGATCTGTAATGGCAAGCCTAAAAGCAGGTTAATAGTTGAGGATGCTTTTTTCTAACCTCAAAATGTTGAATTCAGATTCAAAATGGCGGAAGTCAGATTCAAAATGGCGGATAGCAGCCGCCAGATGGCGGATTTCAGATAGCAAATTCAAAATGGTGGATTCACAACTCAAAATGGCGGATTTCAGACTCAGATAGCAGCCACCAGATGGCGGATTCAAAATGGCGGATCGCAGCCACGAGATGGTGGATTCAAATGGCGGATAGATTTAAAAAAATGGCGGGAAAATGGCGGATAGATTTAAAAAACGGCGGATAGATTCAAAAATGGCGGCAGAATTCACCACCAGCGCCACCTACAACCAAGTCGATAAAAAACCTCGCCCATAACCTCAAAATGTCGGTAAAACACGCCATCCATATCCACAGCAACACCGCTGTCGGTAAAACAGATCCCCTCCATATCGATAGGCAGTAATTAGCCTGGACACGAACCCACGAATCTGTTTTACCGATGGAGCCAGACCCCCAGACACACTACTGACTAACAATATCATTATGATATCATTATGATTTTATAAAGATATGACCATCATTTAATTATTAATTCATTTTAATATCATTATGATTTCATAATGAAATTATGTCAATATCATCATGGAGATACTGTCCTAATGAATTTCCAACAGTTACAAGAAAGTTTTTTTCTTGAATTATGAATAGAAGGCAACAATATCACTACAATATTATGATAAATTTAAAAAAATATCAGCCTGATTCCATCATAAGTTTACGCAGTTACTATTATGACTTCAGTATGAAATTATGCGTTTGTCACTATGGATTTGTCACGAATCTCCATAAGACCAATCCGTGTGGATCAAATTTTATATTTAATAATAATTTTAAATTACTGGAAATTTGCTTTCTCCAACAAGAAAAATAAAAATTTTATAATCTATTAAAAAAAATTCGTTTCTATAACTATTTTACTTAATACAGGTTTCAAATATATTAATATGGCTTTTATATGAATCTCATATTAGTGCCAAAATATGAGATTCATTATGATATTCATTATGAGCCTCATAATGATATCATATCATTTTTACACGGGAATGATATAATAGTGATTCTAACATAAGATTGAGATGAAAATATTTGGTGAGAATCACATAAATGAAATTTGTTCTTTTTAAACTATGCTATGCTCCAACAATTAAGGAATAATAAATAATAATGATCTAATTTTTCAGTTAATTTGTAACAGGCCGTAATATTTAAGAAATGGCTTATACAAAAATTTGTATGGACTTGCAAATATCAATACTTTCAATACGTTTCAAAACCAAAAGGTTCCTTGGTAAAAAAAAATTTATGAAGAATGATCATGTCCAGTTTATAAGAATTTATAAAATAATTTATTACATTCTAGTGCACATATTGTACGCTTATAGTTTTTTGAATGATTGATTGCCGAAGTCTAAGAATGACATTCTTACTTAAATCAATGATAGCTCCATAATAATTTATAATATGAATCTTTACTAGTAATTAAATAAATGATAATCGAATTCTTAGAAAAAATGAAAAAAAATCATTTATAGTGCTATTACCAAATACAAAAACAATTAAAGCAGTCTGCTCGAGCTAAAGTTGAGAAAAACGTTTAAAATATTTTTTTTTATTGTTTTTTTACAACAAAACAATTATATTAAAATTTCTCGAAACTGATAATCGAAAACTCGAAATGTAAAAGCATATTTTTCTTTCTCATCTCGAATATTTATGCCATCATTTCCTTTAAATTATTTGCCTGTTCAAAAACACCTAAGAAATATTATCTAAAATGTCCATTGATTTTTCAGGCTCATACATGCTCAATAATTATAAAAACTTATTTGAAATCATACAAAATTCTTTGAATCACCAATTGAATAAATGATCAAAATATTTTAAATCAAGTTTATTATTTGTTTAGGTATTTATTTATTTTTTAAATTTAAATCCATATATTTACCTGCAGAAGAATCATTCAACGCTGAAACTCCAAACTCCCGAAATGCTTTCACGAAGTTTGATCCATTATCAGTTACCGTCGCTCGAATATACTGTGATGTTAAGCCAAAAGAAGAGTGAATACTCGATAGCTGATTTACGATTGCATCAAATGAATGCATCCCATAAAATCTTTTGCATGCGATTGCTGCGGATTTGCGCTCTAACGTTTGAGAATCAATCTGTAGGAATAAAAAAAATTAACGTTTTATTGTGGTAGTAACAAAACTTTTAATTTACTAATTATTTCATTTAATTCAAAGTTACACTTTCTTTCAACAGTAGTTTGTTTTTTTATGATAAAATTATATAAAAATCGAAACTATGTTTGTAAATCAAAAAATTAAAAACTAAGCAAAAAAATTGAAGAGATAAACGTTAATTAGTACTTATATCTATTGACTCTATTTTCATTATTAAGTAATTGACAACAGCGATCATGCCTAAGCCCACACGGAAAAAAGTAAACTTTAAAATTCACTCGGATTCCGGTTAATTTTTATAGTTTCAAACAGTACAACGGACATCGGGGTGGCAAAAATTTAAATACTACAGAACTTAATGTGGTAAGTGTAAAAGCCACAGTTTATTATTTTAAATCGAAAATAAGTGATTAGTAGCTGTCACTGTAGTAAATAACGACTGTCATCTTAAAAAATTACAGTTTCAAACTGTGAAAATTGCCGTTTCAATATATAGCCCATTCTATGAGAAAAAAGGGAACTCAGATAATAAGGAGAAAGAGGTCTCAATCTGGGAAAATTTATCATTTGAAACAGTAAAAATTCTACTTTTAAAATATATATTTTACCAGTCCAAGCAAGTCAATAATTATAGTTTGATTTTTAGCGTTGCGTTTAAAATTTACCATTTTACTTTGTAATTATTGGCGTAGCTTATATTAGAAATTTAGTAACTGTATTTTATACTTTTTACATATCATGCGATCATTTTTCAGGTACGAAATGATAAATATTAAAGTCAAGATTCTCAATTATTATACTTTAACATTTTCGACATTCACATAGCAAATACTAACTAAAGTTTGAAATAGTATTTTCTTCCATGTAAAGAATAAATTGTAGCATTGAAATGATAAATATTATAAAGTGATTATTAAAATCACGATTTTACTGTTTAAAATGGTAATTTTTAAAACTCTATCATTACTTATTACAAATCGACCGTTATTTATTACAGTTTACTTTTTTCCTTACATTGTTGAGAATAAACAATTATAAATGTTATCTAAATATCATTACTTAAAATTTTACGAACAAAAAACTTATCAAATTATAACTTATTTATAAAAAAAAATTATTGAAAATATAATACCAACCCAGCTTACTGTTACTCCAAGAAATTGACGAGATCCTCCGGTCCAAACATCTGCAGTCGTGCATACATATCCTCCATATCTGCAGTCGTGCATACATATCCTCCAAATAATTCAATAAAATAAAACTATACTTCAGAGAAATGATACGTAGTTAGCATTTTTAGACTAATTAATTAACTTTACTCGAGCAATCTATATATTTTCGAATATATTTACAATGATTGCTTACGGTAAATAAATGATTCAATTGTTATACCATACAATCCTGAAACTCTTTCCATTTAAACAATAAAATTCTCAAGTGGTGTTGTCTTACGCACAGAATAAGTGAATTACTGTTCTTTCAGGCGGACTTGAGTTATTTTTAAGGAAAAAGAAATTGTTCAATGAAATTTAATTTGATTCAGAATAATTTTCACTTTCCTAACATTCTCGTGAGTCAACAAATTGAGTTTTTCAAAAAGAAAAAAAAATTTTTTTTCTATACATAATTAAACTGATTATATAAAAATTTATATACTAGATTGATTTGTAGGTTAAAGTTCGCTCAATATTTTAACATAATTTGCCTTCAATAGTTCGGTAAAGTTCAAAAATAGTGTTTATTTATAAATATATACATTGGCTTTTTCAATAAATGACAATAACGTGATTTTTTAAAGGGCAGATTGCAGAAAATAGTAAATAAATATCGGACTTGAATATTATCAAAATAACTTGAAATGCAGATTTGACAGACGATTCTATCATATTTGAAACTTTAAGTATACAGAAAAAAAGGTTTACTTGAACAAAGAAAATTTTTTGAACTTAAGTTGTCTGGAAGCAAAGCAATAATTTATTTGTCTCAAGAAAATTTTCTTGAGATTAGAGAATTTCTTGAGCCAAGAAATTCCCTACTTTACCCAAGATATTTTCGCTCTTCAAAATGTTTTATTGAGCCAAGAAATTTTTTTACTTTGACTAAGAAACTGTTCTTTCTGTATAAGTATCTTAGAAGAGAGTTGATCGTTTCAGATTCCACTTTGAAAAATACCAAAAACTTTATAATTTTTTTTTTTTTTTTTTTTAATTTGTTTAAAGTCGCATATACTACTAAGGTCATGAGCGACTACGGTAGGGGGTAAACTTTTGAAATTGGAACTCGTTTGTATTTCTTGGGCTGAGCAGAATAATACACTTAAATATTGAAAATATTCATTGGTGTACGCCGGATTCGAACCCGGTCCAATGCTTTGGTAGCAAAGGCCGGATCCGATAGGCTACTGCGCGCCTCTTTTATTATTTTTGTTCACAGACGAGTAAGGCTCAAAATTATCATTAGTTTTTTATTTTATATGAAAATATCAATGTACTGCGGTACACAGTCGATATCGAGTGGGGTCAAATAGAACTATTTTCAACCAATTATTATGAAATATTTGAAAATATTCATTATTAGTACAATAAACTTTCTCAAAAACACATTTTTTAAAAATTAGTATTTGTTTTTCAGTGAAATAAAAAATCATTATCATTTACCGTCAAATATTTTCCGTAACGTTGGATCTTCCACTGCTCTGAATGGAACCATAAATTTTAACATCAAATGAGCCACATTTTGCTCAAATTGATCCTGATTGAAGACACATGACCAACGCTTGCGATCGATATTTTTATTAGTGTCAGAACCTTTCCTCTTCTCTTCAGAATATTTTAAATACTCTCCATAATTGTTCTTATGATATCTCTGATTCAAAAAAAGAAAAATTAACCATTATATTTTTATTCAAAATGAAGGGAATACAAAATTTCTTAATTTCTAAAAGATTTATGACAAATTATTTTTCTAAAGCTCAAAAAACGACGTTGAATGTGAAAATTAAAACAATCGTGTTTCATCAAACTGTTATTAAATTTTTGAGCTCGAAGTAATAGAGAGCTTTGAAAATATATTTTTTATGTTTATTTTATCCTTATAATTGCAGGTATTGTTTACATACATTATCCTTACATACTATAAATAAAATTATTGTAGAGATGACTTGCATATAATATAAAATAGAAATGAAAATTGTTCTATTACTTACATTCACATATGATATTTTTTCTCACTATTAATATCGCGTTGCAGATACCAAGGACGCGTACACCAGTAAAAGATTTAGATAAAGATGCCTAAAGGATATATCTTTTTTGAAATTGACGTCATAATGCCTAATAGTATCTATCGCAAGAATAAGTATAATGTTTTCTTTTTGAGTTTTTTCCTAGACAAAAAAATTTTATAAAAATAAATATTAGTTTCAAAAGAATATTTTTTCGATTAAAATTCATTTTTTATTATTTAATTTGTACATTGAAAAAAAAAATTAGTTCCGAAATTTTAAACTGTTAAAAACAAATTTTTTTTAGAAACTACCATCCTATTCATTTTTAAATATGAATATACATGTTACTTTTTCAAGCATATTCTCTCCATAATTTTCTTTATTAGTAATAATGATCTTTCACGTATTTGTGCACACTTCAGGAATAGCTTTTCGAAAAAAATAATCAATCATATTAGCCTTCAAAAAACGCACATAATAAACTTTGAGTAAAATCTAATCTTTGCTGTTCTTCAAAAAGCGTAAAATCAAATCGCTGATCCTGTGAAGAATTTATTTGGCTTTCTTTCTTCCTGATGGATGAAACATTCATCTCCAGTCTGATTGCTTGAGAAGATTATTACCAGATGCAAGAATGCTGATTATCAAATACCCTGTTGAAAATGTCCAATAGAAACTCATAAAAAACGATAAGGATTGTATGGGCTTCTATATGGTCTATCCTACAAAAAACAGTTTCACTGTAAAATGTCGCGCCAAGTACACGTCCAACTATTGTAACAGAGACAATGATAACCTCATTATTGTAAAAATAAACAAATCTGATCTTTACAAAAAAATGTGAAATAAAAAAAAACCAAGTACACAAAACTTGGATTAAAAAAAACACTCATTAAAAATGGTGAGAATTGAAAAAAAAAAATTGGTGTAGTTTATTTATAAAAAAAACGAAAGAAAAATTTGCACTTTATAAAAAAATATAAAATAAAAAAAAACTAAGTAACTGCTGTGATTTTCAATAATTGCAAAGTTTTTGTGGCAAATTTAACAATTGAAAACAATTTTTTAAACGTACTTGGCGCGCATCATTGACTACCCCCAATTTTTTCATGGCTGATGTAGCGCCAGAAACTTGGTATTGGAAAGCAGTTTATGAACAACAATTGTTACACTCCTTCTACACCGTTGTTGACTTCACTAATGATTAATTTGATATTTTTAATTAAATCTATTAGAATTAAAATTCAAACTTGTTCTTATTCTTTCACGAATTAGATTAGATTTATACTTATATAAATATGATGTTTTCTGGCATTTCAATTGAATCAAGAAAAGAGCAAAGGATTTGATTACCAGTGATGTTAAGTACCCCCAGTAGCTGCTCAGGAACAAATTCCTTCCCATTCTTTGTATTTGTATAACTGCATTTTTAAATATAGATATAAAAACACACAGAGTAGACAAGTACTGGTTTCTGAGCAACTACTGGCAACTTTAATTTAGATTTTCATTAAATTGTTTTAGAAAAATATAACATTGAAGCATGCTTGAGCAATACAAACTTCTTAAACTGATAATTGACATAAATAAATTATTTTAGTGATATTGTGAAGTCATTTACAATGCATCAGAAAAAATTGGGGGTAGTCAATGACGCGCGCCAAGTACGTTTAAAAAATTCTTTTCAATTGTTAAATTTGCCACAAAAACTTTGCAATTATTGAAAATCACAGCGGTTACTTGGTTTTTTTTTATTTTATATTTTTTTATAAAGTGCAAATTTTTCTTTCGTTTTTTTTATAAATAAACTACACCAATTTTTTTTTTAATTCTCACCATTTTTATTGAGTGTTTTTTTTAATCCGAGTTTTGTGTACTTGGTTTTTTTTTATTTCACATTTTTTTGTAAAGATCAGATTTTTTTATTTTTGCAATAATGAGGTTATCATTGTCTCTGTTACAATAGTTGGACGTGTACTTGGCGCGACATTTTACAGTGAAACTGTTTTTTGTAGGATTTCAGATTTTTTTGTAAAGGTCATATTTTTTTTTTTTTCCATAAAAGAGTTTATCATTGCCTCTATTACAATAGTTGGACGTGTACTTGGCGCGAAATTTTACAGTGAAACTGTTTTTTGTGGGATTTGACATATTTGAATTCGAATTACGCGCACGATTAATGAACGTGACTTCTGTAAGAAAAAACTTACTGACTACTCAGAATCAGAATAATAATAGACAAGTATAGTGCGGAGCATTAACGCCTGGGCTGATGTTTTCATAAGTACAGTGAAAACTGTATAAAGTTACGCAGGTTGTCTTTCGTTCCATTACAAAATTTTTTCTTAGTATACTATCTACTTATGGGTGCTTAATAGGGTGATTCATTTCCGCAAAATTTTTTTTTTTTTCGGTGCTCATGAAAAATATTAATCTACATATAGAAAAAAAAATTCCTACCAAGTTTGAGCTCTTAATATTAATTTTAAGTACTTACAATAAAAATTTAAAGTTTTACCATTTAGAATGCATGTAAAAAAAATTTTTTTTTTTTCAAATTTCTAATGCTTAGCCGGCTTTTACAATATTGCAAATCGGTTTGATGGACCTTGTGGGGAATTTCACGCTCTTCAAAAAAGCCTTGAAGTTTTTTGTGTAACTCGCACTGGTTCACCGGTAGGAGTCGTCAAAGTACAATTTTTGGAAAAAATATAATTTCTTTTAATTTTTCGAGCAAATCACCAATGGTAGGAAGGAAAAAAAAGGACTGACTCATAAAAAAAAGTCATCCAACCAATATTTAATGAATTAACAGCCATTTTTATAGCGAGAAACATAAGAAATTGATAAATACTAACTCATAATGTTATGTAGATTTATTTTTTCTGTTTATTACCATTAAATTTCCCTACACTACAAATTTTTTTTAAATTATTATGATTTCTCACCCATAATAAATATTAAAACAACACAAAAATTAATTAAAAAAACTACAAGAATAAA